CCCATTTACTCCCAAATCCGAAGGATCAGAAATCATGCCTAGAAACATCAGGTGTATATAAGATCCCTTGCTCTTGTGGTAAAGTTTATATAGGAGAAACCGGGAGGAAGATCAGTACGCGAATCAAGGAACACCAGCGATGTACCAAGTATGGTCACTTTACTCAATCAGCCCTAGCTGAACACTGGATGGAGACTGGACACTCCGTACAATATGAAAAAGCCACCAGATTGGCTCCCTCACAGAGTTATTTTGCCAGAAAACATCGTGAAGGTCTAGAAATTTTGAAACATCCCAACAACCTCAACCGAGACAAAGGTATGCAAGTAAACTCTATTTGGCATACTGCCCTCCCGGTTTTTTTTAATTGACCAGCTGATCAATTAAAATACGCTGATTGGCTGGATTCAAGCCTCGTCCCCTACTCCCTAACACCATCTACACAATGGGGAGGAGGGGGGCATATAAGGACTACCTTTACCCAAGGGAGCTCAGTATCAGAGTTCTCAGCCCTGATGATGCAAACTGCAACGTTTGCGAAACGTCGGCATATCGCTGATTCAAGACACGGCTCCATTTAATAAATTTTGTTAATTTTTATAACATGTTTCATTTAAATTTTGTAGACAGTAATAGAATTTGTTGGGATGAAGCAATAACGAAATTATTATTGCAAGAACTTAATGCACATATACATTTATTTGGTCGTTAAACATATAAAATTATTTTGAAGTCTATTGCAAGTCGTATTAATGAAAAAGGGGAGCGTTCCGATTGAGCACGGTACGATTGGACACAACCAACCGATGCAAAGAATTATTAAATGAATTACCAGATCGAATCAATCATTACAATATGTGTCCAATCGCACCGTCATCATTTGGGTCCCACCCTTTGACTGTATAACCATGGACCGTTAGCGGCGATTCTAAGGGCCGTGACACACAGAAAAACTTAAGCAGTAAGATGTAAGCAGTAAACAAATTGACCAATCACAGTTGTTGATTCTTGGACCGTAAGAAGAATCAATGACTGTGATTGGTCAATTTGCTTACTGTTTACGTTTTACTGCTTAAGTTTTTCTATGTGCCACCAGCTAAAAGCTGGCCATACACACTTTCCGTAACAGTAACCGTAAAACGTAACGTAAGAATTGACCAATCATGTTAAGGATCATTGAATTGTAAGGTCGCCATTTTTGTAAAAACTCGATCGTAATTGGTCAATTCTTACTTTACGTCCTACGGTTACTGTTACGGAAAGTGTGTGTGACCAACTTAAGCGTCTGTCAACATCTCTAGCGCAGCCAGGACCAAACAACGGCAAAAGAAGGAACTCAGTAGAGCAAAACAGAGTTAGCAACGTAAACGCTTCTAATACTCGCGTATCACATGGTGATACGTATTGGAAAGATTAAAAGAGTAGTTTTCCAATCGGAGTTTTTTTCCGGTCAAGTACATACGAATCACAAATTGACATAACTGCATATGCATAGCATAAGACTGTATGTACCAATGAGCATCGAGTATTAAGTCGCCATATTGATGTTCGATGCTTAATATTCGATGCTCATTGGTCCATACGATCTTATGCTATGTATATGCAGTTATGTCAATTTGTGTGCGATAGCCCTTAGGGTTAAAACTACTCTTT